CTGTACACCTGGTATTGTCAGTATAGATCAGACACACGTGGTATACTGTACACCTGGTATTGTCAGTATAGATCAGACACGTGGCATACCGTACACCTGGTATTGTCAGTATAGATCAGACACGTGGTATACCGTACACCTGGTATTGTCAGTATAGATCAGACACGTGGTATACTGTACACCTGGTATTGTCAGTATAGATCAGACACGTGGCATACCGTACACCTGGTATTGTCAGTATAGATCAGACACGTGGCATACCGTACACCTGGTATTGTCAGTATAGATCAGACACGTGGCATACCGTACACCTGGCATTGTCAGTATAGATCAGACACGTGGTATACCGTACACCTGGCATTGTCAGTATAGATCAGACACGTGGTATACCGTACAACCTGGTATTGTCAGTATAGATCAGACACACGTGGTATACTGTACACCTGGTATTGTCAGTATAGATCAGACACGTGGCATACCGTACACCTGGTATTGTCAGTATAGATCAGACACGTGGTATACTGTACACCTGGTATTGTCAGTATAGATCAGACACACACGGCATACCGTACACCTGGTATTGTCAGTATAGATCAGACACGGCATACCGTACACCTGGTATTGTCACTATAGATCAGACACGTGGCATACTGTACAACCTGGTATTGTCAGTATAGATCAGACACGTGGCATACCGTACACCTGGTATTGTCAGTATAGATCAGACACGTGGTATACCGTACACCTGGTATTGTCAGTATAGATCAGACACACGGTATACCGTACACCTGGTATTGTCAGTATAGATCAGACACGTGGTATACCGTACACCTGGTATTGTCAGTATAGATCAGACACGTGGTATACTGTACACCTGGTATTGTCAGTATAGATCAGACACGTGGTATACCGTACACCTGGTATTGTCACTATAGATCAGACACGTGGTATACTGTACACCTGGTATTGTCAGTATAGATCAGACACGCGGTATACTGTACACCTGGTATTGTCAGTATAGATCAGACACGTGGTATACTGTACACCTGGTATTGTCAGTATAGATCAGACACGTGGTATACTGTACACCTGGTATTGTCAGTATAGATCGTGACACGTGGTATACTGTACACCTGGTATTGTCACTATAGATCAGACACGTGGTATGCTGTACACCTGGCATTGTCAGTATAGATCAGACACGTGGTATACTGTACACCTGGTATTGTCAGTATAGATCAGACACGTGGTATACTGTACACCTGGTATTGTCAGTATAGATCAGACACACGTGGTATACCGTACACCTGGTATTGTCAGTATAGATCAGACACACGTGGTATACCGTACACCTGGTATTGTCAGTATAGATCAGACACGTGGCATACTGTACACCTGGTATTGTCAGTATAGATCAGACACGTGGTATACCGTACACCTGGTATTGTCAGTATAGATCAGACACGTGGTATACCTGTACAACCTGGTATTGTCAGTATAGATCAGACACGTGGTATACCGTACACCTGGTATTGTCAGTATAGATCAGACACGCGGTATACCGTACACCTGGTATTGTCAGTATAGATCAGACACGTGGTATACCGTACACCTGGTATTGTCAGTATAGATCAGACACGCGGTATACCTGTACACCTGGTATTGTCAGTATAGATCAGACACGTGGTATACTGTACACCTGGTATTGTCAGTATAGATCAGACACGTGGTATACCGTACACCTGGTATTGTCAGTATAGATCAGACACGTGGTATACCTGTACACCTGGTATTGTCAGTATAGATCAGACACGTGGTATACTGTACACCTGGTATTGTCACTTTAGATCAGACACGTGGTATACTGTACACCTGGTATTGTCAGTATAGATCAGACACGTGGTATACTGTACACCTGGTATTGTCACTATAGATCAGACACGTGGTATACTGTACACCTGGTATTGTCAGTATAGATCAGACACACGTGGTATACTGTACACCTGGTATTGTCAGTATAGATCAGACACGTGGTATACTGTACACCTGGTATTGTCAGTATAGATCAGACACACGTGGTATACTGTACACCTGGTATTGTCACTATAGATCAGACACGTGGTATACTGTACACCTGGTATTGTCAGTATAGATCAGATCACACATAATGGTATACCTGTACACCTGGTATTGTCAGTATAGATCAGACACGTGGCATACCGTACACCTGGTATTGTCACTATAGATCAGACAACGTGGTATACCGTACACCTGGTATTGTCAGTATAGATCAGACACGTGGTATACCGTACACCTGGTATTGTCACTATAGATCAGACACGTGGTATACTGTACACCTGGTATTGTCACTATAGATCAGACACACGGTATACTGTACACCTGGTATTGTCACTATAGATCAGACACGTGGTATACTGTACACCTGGTATTGTCACTATAGATCAGACACGTGGTATACCGTACACCTGGTATTGTCAGTATAGATCAGACACGTGGTATACCGTACACCTGGTATTGTCAGTATAGATCAGACACGTGGTATACTGTACACCTGGTATTGTCAGTATAGATCAGACACGTGGTATACTGTACACCTGGTATTGTCAGTATAGATCAGACACGTGGTATACTGTACACCTGGTATTGTCAGTATAGATCACACACGCATACTGTACACCTGGTATTGTCAGTATAGATCAGACACGTGGTATACCGTACACCTGGTATTGTCAGTATAGATCAGACACGTGGTATACTGTACACCTGGTATTGTCAGTATAGATCAGACACACGCGGTATACCGTACACCTGGTATTGTTCACTATAGATCGAGACACGTGGTATACTGTACACCTGGTATTGTCACTATAGATCAGACACGTGGTATACTGTACACCTGTCAGTATAGATCAGACACGTGGTATACTGTACACCTGGTATTGTCAGTATAGATCAGACACGTGGTATACTGTACACCTGGTATTGTCAGTATAGATCAGACACGTGGTATACTGTACACCTGGTATTGTCAGTATAGATCAGACACGTGGTATACTGTACACCTGGTATTGTCAGTATAGATCAGACACACGTGGTATACTGTACACCTGGTATTGTCAGTATAGATCAGACACGTGGTATACTGTACACCTGGTATTGTCAGTATAGATCAGAGACACGTGGTATACTGTACACCTGGTATTGTCACTATAGATCAGACACGTGGTATACTGTACACCTGGTATTGTCACTATAGATCAGACACGTGGTATACTGTACACCTGGTATTGTCAGTATAGATCAGACACGTGGTATACTGTACACCTGGTATTGTCACTATAGATCAGACACGTGGTATACTGTACACCTGGTATTGTCAGTATAGATCAGACACACGTGGTATACTGTACACCTGGTATTGTCAGTATAGATCAGACACACGTGGTATACTGTACACCTGGTATTGTCAGTATAGATCAGACACACGTGGTATACTGTACACCTGGTATTGTCACTATAGATCAGACACGTGGTATACTGTACACCTGGTATTGTCAGTATAGATCAGACACGTGGTATACTGTACACCTGGTATTGTCAGTATAGATCAGACACGTGGTATACTGTACACCTGGTATTGTCAGTATAGATCAGACACGTGGTATACTGTACACCTGGTATTGTCAGTATAGATCAGACACGTGGTATACTGTACACCTGGTATTGTCAGTATAGATCAGACACGTGGTATACTGTACACCTGGTATTGTCAGTATAGATCAGACACACGTGGTATACTGTACACCTGGTATTGTCAGTATAGATCAGACACGTGGTATACTGTACACCTGGTATTGTCAGTATAGATCAGACACGTGGTATACTGTACACCTGGTATTGTCAGTATAGATCAGACACGTGGTATACTGTACACCTGGTATTGTCAGTATAGATCAGACACACGTGGCATACTGTACACCTGTCAGTATAGATTGTCACGTATAGACCTGGTATTGTCAGTATAGATCAGACACCAACACGTGGTATACTGTACACCTGGTATTGTCAGTATAGATCAGACACACGTGGTATACTGTACACCTGGTATTGTCAGTATAGATCAGACACGTGGTATACTGTACACCTGGTATTGTCACTATAGATCAGACACGTGGTATACTGTACACCTGGTATTGTCACTATAGATACACGTGGTATACCGTACACCTGGTATTGTCAGTATAGATCAGACACACGTGGTATACTGTACACCTGGTATTGTCAGTATAGATCAGACACACGTGGTATACCTGTACACCTGGTATTGTCAGTATAGATCAGACACACGTGGTATACCTGGTACACCTGGTATTGTCAATCTGGTATTGATCAGTTATAGATCACACGTGGTATACTGTACACCTGGTATTGTCACTATAGATCAGACACGTGGTATACTGTACACCTGGTATTGTCAGTATAGATCAGACACGTGGTATACTGTACACCTGGTATTGTCAGTATAGATCAGACACATGGTATACTGTACACCTGGTATTGTCAGTATAGATCAGACACACGGCATACTGTACACCTGGTATTGTCAGTATAGATCATACGTGGTATACTGTACATCTGGTAACACCTGGTATTGTCAGTATAGATCAGACACGTGGTATACTGTACACCTGGTATTGTCACTATAGATCAGACACGTGGTATACTGTACACCTGGTATTGTCACTTTAGATCAGACACGTGGTATACTGTACACCTGGTATTGTCAGTATAGATCAGACACGTGGTATACTGTACACCTGGTATTGTCAGTATAGATCAGACACACGTGGTATACTGTACACCTGGTATTGTCAGTATAGATCAGACACACGTGGTACACTGTACACCTGGTATTTTCATGTCAGTATAGAACCGACACATTGCATCTGTAGCCCTCTGCAGCTATGGCCATGTCTCACTTGGATATCGGAGGGTTTTCAACCACCGTGCTCGGTCAGCATCTTTGACGAAATGGCACCAGTAACCATAGGCAACCATGACCCCGGCGAAACCCACCAGGCGACCCTCCTCATGGACACTTGCCAAATCTTTCCATACAGTACTGCCTGTAAGAGAAACCGCCTTTTAGCAACCGTTACTTTTATATGTCACCTCAGTAGTGCTGTTTACTCGTTATTTACACAATGTTTTGGTGTGTGAACCATTATAATATATGGCATATACACTACAATATGTGTCACATGTTACAATATATGGCATACACACTACAATATGTGTGACATGTTACAATATATGGCATACACGTGCACACTACAATATGTGTCACATTTCACACAAAGTCTGTCATGCCACGTCATACACCCACACCTGTGTTTGCGACCGTGCTATATAATTGTCTGTCGTGACGAATGCACAACGCACCCACCTTGCACAATGTGAAGAGCGACTGTCTCCACATCTACGAAGCCGTACGTTCTTTTACAGAGTTCATTTCCCGTTCCTGAAAGTTGAGTCAGCACTTTTATTTTTTGTGATTCTCCTCGCCCAACCGACCCTCCTAATTTTATTGCCGACACCCACCCACCCCCCACCCACCTAAAAAAGAAAAAACCCTTCTTTTTTTCATTCCAACACCGCCGACTCGAACCTAAAGCGTACTGCCTCGTCATATAAAATGTTCATCTAACTAAAATGTTTTATTCAGACGCTGCCATAAGTCCAAAGAACGCGAGAAATTGTAATAAGAATTACAATAAATGAGAATCAAGAACATTATTCGGATAAATTTGTCTTTATTAAGTTGTTGGTTTTTCCCCGACCGACCGACCCATGTTCAGAATTCGGTGGCTATGTCAAACACATAAAAAAGTGAGGCCTATAGAGCACGGTCGTCTTCGACCTATTGGGAAGTGTTCTGCTAGTATACTGTCACTATTCGACCCACATGAAACACATGGTGTGTAAGTACTGATTCTGGTGTACCTGTAGGCAGTATCCCGATGGGTATCTCCACGGGGGAGAGTTTAGCGGTGTGGTTGTTGGCGTCAGTGTCGTGCTCCTGCATCCTGGGTACTAGCGTGTTGATAATCTCATAGAAGGAACCGTCACCTCCCGCAACAATGACGCTACAGGGGAACAACATACACAGAAGTTACTCAAGTGAAAAAAGAATACATAGAGAGTGTCACGTATTACAACATAATTAACCAGCAACACAATTACCCAACAACACAAAAGGCGTGGTAGCCCATACTGTCTATAGCGTTGGCTCGTCTCGCATAACACTCGATTCTCCATATCGGTTCAACGTTTCGAGGACATTCATGGCGTCCACTACCGAAATATAGCTACCTGTCTCGTAAAACAATACCCACTTATTCAAGACCACTTTGATGAGAAACGACTTTAAAGACGAGGACATATTTGTAGCTGAGATGTGGTACCGAGCTAACATGAGCTATTGGTAGGAAACCAACTGCTGACCTCGTCCAATGGTCAACGAGTCCGGGAATGGAAAGGGTGGCGAGGACACCTACCCGTTCACCTGGGAAAAGTCATACGTTTGGCCAATCTCTCCTATGTGTCTCGACCTCTGTGTCACTTGAAAAACAAAATTTACTGATAAGTATATGAACAAGACAACATTACAGCCCTATACCTATTACACTGTATAAACAATAACACGTCATTCTTACAACACATGGTTCATATCAAACAAATGATAGATATAATTGATCTTTATGAACGACACAGTAATCAGCCAGTGCACACTGGGACAAGTAAGGCGTCTCAATTACCAATAACATCCGCCTGTATGTCAGCCAGTTCAAACAATGGAGCAACTTTTGTTTCGTAGATGTGGCGGCCTTGACCTCTGCCCCCGATGGCGTTGATTATTACAAGAAGACGCGTGGGACGATCTGCAACAAACGCTCCACTGTGTAACGGGGTTGATGAGACACGCTATGTATACCCATCTAAAGGTAGAACAATAGTCATACTTGATACTAATCAAATACACTTATCTTCAATTCATACCGTGACTTCCAGAACATTATTTGACTGCTCTTCAGCTTCAGTTTCGTGATACAATGACGTTAACGTCTGAACGCTGTCAAGGAAGAGACCGCCATTTACAGTTACACCTAGATATACTAACAGTGAGTGAGTGAGTTTAGTTTTACGCCGCACTCAGCAATATTCCAGCTATATGGCGGCGGTCTGTAAATAATCGAGTCTGGACCAGACAATCCAGTGATCAACAGCATGAGCATCGATCTGCGCAATTGGGAACCGATGACATGTGTCAACCAAGTCAGCGAAACTGACCACCCGATCCCGTTAGTCGCCTCTTACGACAAGATAGTCGCCTTTTTATGGCAAGCACATGGGTTGCTGAAGAACTATTCTACCCCGGATCTTCACGGGTCATCTAATTATTGTTATTTGCAGTTGTCCCACCTGTTATGTCTATCCTGCTGCCTATGATGTCCACCCACTCCTGCAGGGTGTGTTTCTTGCCCTCCATGGTCTTGTGGCGGTGGCGCCATCTGTTGTCCGTCTGGCGATGTACATAGTGGACAGTAAAGGAGTCCAGTTCCCGCGAGTCCTTCGTGTCCTTGCCCTTGGAAGAAGGCGCCCCTCTGTGTGCTGCGATGACGTCACGCCATGGTAAAGTTAATTCTGTTGGAAAGATTATGAAACCTCAACGGTGCCTCGACAAAGAATGTTGCTTTAATTAGTTATTAGTGTTAACAAACACTGGAGATTCTGTGGAGATAATTATATATGTGATGCTGCCGGCCATAGTGAACGCCAGTGACATAACAGTCACAACAAGCTGAAATTATACACAACTGATATACCTGTTCTCCTCATTAATAAAAACATAAACTCACTACCTTTTTATACGTAACAACATCATGAAAATGAAAGTAGTTTATATGCAGCGATGCATGATTATTACCCACGTCAACTGATCAGCTAATATTACAAAACAGAACTTTGTCACTTGTGTGACAACCCAAGTCTGAGTGCGACAGTGGCAAACAGGTGACTCACAGTTAAAACCAGACAGAGACTACGGGAAACAGTTACATAACACGTGACCGCCTCGACACAAGGCCTACATCTCTAGTTCGTTGTACAGACCAAACTTCCTTATATGCCATACAGCCTCGATTAGTCGTCAAACGTCTTTTCGGACAATTTAATGACCGCTTATAGAAGACCAAACGTGTGTCAGACTGACCCATGCTCAATGAACAGAGCCCAAAAGATCCGGGTTAGAATTGATCTTCAGCAACCCATGTTTGTCGTCAGAGGCGACTAACGGGATCGGGTGGTCAGGTTCGCTGACTGGTGTTGACACGTGTCATCGGTTCCCAATTGCGTAGATCGATGGTCATGCTGTTGATCCCTGGATTGTCTGGTCCAGATCCGATTATTTACAGACCGCCGCCATATAGCTGGGATATTGCTGAGTGCGGCGTAAAGCTAAACTCACTCACTCACTCAATGAACAGACGTGTCCGCAGATACTACCAACACAGTGTATGTTTTCTTAGACCAGTGAAACATCAAATATAATCGTATCTCGTCCATTGTCAACTCGGAAATCATGTTCAATTTATCTGATATAGGCAGGTATTTCACATTTTATTCCAGAACATATTTGACTGCTCTTCAGTTTCAGTTTCGTGATACAATGACGTTAACGTCTGAACGCTGACGAAGAAGATGGATATACTAACAGGTACATATATTACATAACAGGCATGCATTTCACATTGTATTTATTTTATTCCTTTTCTAAACATGCTTTACATGTTAAATTATGTTTGTGTAAACTGATTGTATGTATGTCTTGAAAAATACTTTGTTCCGTAATGGAATGTGTTTTGGAATGCTATTTAATACGGCAACGTTTGTCCGGTCGGCCATTACACGATGTACGGTAAAAGATTTTTCACACGTTTCTCGGGCAAGAGGTCTAAGGGAAGTAACTCTCGCCAATATGAGCAAAATATCCCAATGTCTGCAGTCAAGGAATTGTGTAGCTTGCACATAAGCTGATACATAACGATAGACGGGTAACACACACTGGAAACAGGACTAGGAAGGAGATCGACATGAACTGATTATGAGCTACTATTCACCAGTGGTTCCTCTCCTCGTCTGTGTAACCCAGCATATGTTCCTGTTGTCAACCTGCAGCCTCACCAGATCTCCGGCGCACGTGAAGTCTCCCGCTAGACAAGTGTCGTCGGCTGCAGTACTGGCGACTGGTTTCGAGCTGTCAGCCATTGCTCCACTTCACTTCCGAGTAGCTCTACACAGCCCCGTCAGTCAGTCAGTCAGTCAGCGCAACAGGTCTACTATCTAGGCCACCGGACGAGGCCTTTATGTTTTGGGTTTTGTACAACATGATACACTATTTTGTGACTCCACTACCCAGCGGAATGGGAAATAAATAGCTCGGCTGGTATTGAAAAGCTTGTTGCATCATGTACAGACATGTTTAAGATTATCCCCAATCACCTAGAAAATGTTAAGGCACAAGCTAATGACATTAGATTAAACACAGCAATATATGATGTTCTTTAAATAACCACACATCACAAAATAATGATTCTGACAATCAATTGCAAGTGAAGACAATTCAGCTGTAGTATGTCTGTGGAGAATGCAGGTGGAGCTGTGAGTAGCGGGGCGAGGCAGGATGTTTACTAAATATGTCAGGTGTAATTAAGGTGGATGAGAGAGGGTGGTAGAGAACGGAGACGAATATAATAATGTATGAAATATTACTTGACGCAAAACAGATCTTTCCTCTCAAATGGGCAGTGGGGTAGCCTAGTGGTTAAAGCGTTCGCTCGTCACGTTGACGACACGGATTCGAATCCCCTCGTGGGTGGGTGTGAAGCCCATTTCTGGGATGGGAAATGCAGAACCAAAGGGACTTCTCTGTGTGCGTGCATGCGTGCGTGCGTGCTTGCGTGTGTGTGTGTGTGTGTTTCACTTTGTATAGTGTGTCTAAAATTGAAATATTCATGTCAAGCTAAAGAGTGTTTTGTGGGGATTTTCATGATGGCTGTATATACATTTACTGAGAGCGGAGACACCAGCTTTAAATGTAATGGTTTCACTACCTTGTCGATACGGACGAGTTGTATAAACACACTGTACAGACGTACACAAACTCCACGAGGCGATATATACAGTGTAGTTGCTCACGGGGGTGGAACCTGTAAACAAGGTCGGGGTCTGATCGCATGGAAAAGTTAGAACGTTTTACACAAAGGCCAGTGGAATGAGGACTGGCTACAGCTTTGCTGAAGGTTACAGCAAATATGCATGCGATACAGATAGACTGAAATATTTGTCTGGCATTCTAAGAGGAGATGGATACCAGAGACAGTCTCGGAGCTTTTATGGAGTCATTAGTGAAACGCAACAGGACGATGAAAATACCACAGTGTGGCTACTGTAAATAGATGCAACAGTATACTAAGCACAGTTAAAGTCAGGCACCTCGGTCGAAACTGTACTATATCAAGTGTGAACAACTGATTGATTGATTGATTGTTGTTTAACGCCGCACTCAGCAATATTCAGGTTATATACGGCGGCGATCTGACCAGACACTCCAGTGATCAACAGCATGAGCATTGATCTACGCAGTTGGGATACAATGACGTGTCAACTAAGTCCTGATCCTGACCACCCGATCCCGTTAGTCGCCTCCTACGACAAGCATGGGTTACTGCAGATCAATTCTAACCCGGATCTTCACTGGAATAGTGTGAAAGACGTGAGTCAGTACCGGTCAGTCGGTGAATGGGTGTAGCGGAAGTATGGCGATCACAACAACGGTCCCTTTGAAAGGTTTCACAGATTCCAAGTCGCTGTATTCACCACCAACCCTACCCAGCCTCCCCCCCCCCCCCCAGCTACTTACAGGGGACGTAGTGTGAATCCTGTGCAATATTCAAGCTGTTCAAGCTGCAAAGAATAACTAGAATCTGGTCTCGGCCAAAATAGTGGTCGAAAGCATGAGCAACAATTAACCAGCTGATCAGTTAGGACCTGACCCACAAACTTCGCGTCTTACGACAAGCTCTGGACCTCGCCAGGAACACATGGAAGTAATATACACTCCACTTGCAACGTTAAAGGTCACCGGTATTTTTCATAAACTGATATGAATAGCACGTGTGCCATGATATTTGTAGTAGCTGAGATTAATCTCCAACGCACTCATTTGGTGTACAGACCTACGGTAGAGAATCTCACGTCCCGCGCATTTGGAGTCTGCTAAATCATGTGTATATATATATATATGTGTGAAAGAGGTCGTTCTTGAGTAGTGCCTACCTTCCCACATCTCTGTAACATGTATTACAGTGCACCTACCAGTATGGTACCCAGTAGGTCATTTATTCTAGTTACTTCATGATTACAGATTTTAGCCGACGAGGCGACTGATCCATAGGTTTAATGGAGGCGGTTCATCTTAACGTGAGATGTTTAGATTTAACCCCATAACGTTAATAATGGATTGTGTAACAAGACGGTCAGGTCAGCACTGGGGGTGGGTGGGTTTGGTTTCAATTCGCGTTTGACAGACGATACGACGGAAAAGCGGACGTGATTTATCTCCCCTGTATGCAGAAACTTTATGGATAACAACTTCTGTTTTTTATGAGTGAGTACAGCGACGTTTGGATACAGATTCTTTTTATTGTACCGTTTTGTCAAGCATAATGGGACATGAAGAGGGGAAGTGTATATATACTGGATGTGACAATGTGACAAAGAAAACAACATAATTAACATAATTGGCTAGGCAGAAGGCTGATGAAGCCAGAGAGTAGACAAAGGACAGGCGTAGAAGCCAATGATGTACAAATGATAATGACATGTTTATACAGCAGTGAGTTTATACAGTGGATTGGGCTTGGTGGATGAGTGCATCATAAGCGGATGGAATGAAGTATCCTTGGTCTCGGTTGATGGTGGGCTTTTGGCGTTTGATGTGGATGGCTTCGGTGAGCTTGCGTTTAGTGAAGTCTGTTTGTTTGTTAGAGAGAATGGTGATGTCAGACCACTCTATTTGATGATTGGGGCTTGCTTTGATGTGGTCGGAAATGGCTGATTTGCTGTCGGAATTGGTAACAGAGGTCTGATGTTCTTTCACTCGGGTGTTGATGGGTCGGGAAGTTTCGCCTATGTAGCTCTGCCCACAATCACAGTTTATTTTGTAGATGACACATTTTGGGTTGTTGTTCTTTATGGTGGTGGGTTTTCTTCCATTGGCATGGAGAATGTTGTTAAGGTTGGAGGACGCGGAGAAGGTGGTATCTATGCCAGCTTGATCTTTCAGGAGGCGGCTGATTTGATGTGACGGTTTGCCAATGTAGGGATGGATATCTTGATGGGGCTAAATCTTGTTTGGGTCTTTTGGTAGGGGGTGGCAGCGATGGTTCTGTTGACTATTTGGGATGGAAAGTGGTTGCGTTCTACGAAGACTTTCTTGAGGTGTTCGATTTCATCTTGTAGTTTAGTTGAGCAGATGTTCTTGGCCCTTCTGGTTAGTGTGGAGATGATGCCGGTCTTAACTTTAGGTGGATGATTGGAGTTGTAGTGGATATACTGATCCGTATGGGTGGGTTTTCTGTATACAGTGGTCTGGAGTTGGTTGCTGGAGGTGCGGGACACAAGGACGTCAAGGAAAGGTAGTTGCTGGTTCTGCTCGGTTTCCATGGTGAACTTGATGCGGGGATGTTGGTTGTTGAGATGGGTGAGAAGCTGAGTGGGATCTTGCTGAGGTTGGAGGATGACGAAGGTGTCATCCACTTTGCGATACCAACATGTGGGTTTGAAGGGTGCAGTATCCAGTGCTTTATCTTCCAGGTCCGTCATGTAAATTTCGGTTAGGATGGGGGATAAGGGGGAGCCCATGGGAAGTCCATGAATTTGTTCATAGATCTCGTCCCCCCAGGTGAAGTAGGTGGAGTTGATGCAGGTTGAGGTGAGACTGATGATGGAGTCGGTTGAGAGGCTGGTGTTGAGGGGTTGTTGAAGTTTATCAATTCTGTGGCGTAAGGCTTGGAGCGCTTCTTCTCTTGGTACATTAGTAAATAGGTCCACAACATCGTAGCTGATGATGGGACCTGGATTGGAGATGTCACGGATCTTGCTGCAGAAGTCTGTTGAGTCGTTGATGAAGGAGTTGGCAGATTTACCTAAAGGAGCGAGTACTTTGGTAAGGTGCTGGGCAGTATTGTAAAACACTGTATCACGGGAGCAGACTAGTAGACGGGTTTTCACAGGATTCTTATGGATCTTGACAGTTGCTCGGGCATAGGGTGGTTGAGGATGGGATACTGATAGCTTGCGATAGTGATATGTAGAGAGTTCAAATTTATCATGCAGTAGTTTTAGGGTGGACTTGTGCTGACGATTGAACTTAGTAGGATCCTTATTGATCTTCTTGTACGTGGCGGTGTCATCTAGCAGGTTGTCTACCATGGTGTTGAAATGGTCTTTGTCTAGAATGGGCTTGTAACAAGCCATCAAACAATTGAAACAAGATCCGGACATCGTCATCGCCCCAGCTGACAAGGGTAAGGCCACCGTTGTCCATCCCCTACATTGGCAAACCGTCACATCAAATCAGCCGCCTCCTGAAAGATCAAGCTGGCATAGATACCACCTTCTCCGCGTTCTCCAACCTTAACAACATTCTCCATGCCAATGGAAGAAAACCCACCACCATAAAGAACAACAACCCAAAATGTGTCATCTACAAAATAAACTGTGATTGTGGGCAGAGCTACATAGGCGAAACTTCCCGACCCATCAACACCCGAGTGAAAGAACATCAGACCTCTGTTACCAATTCCGACAGCAAATCAGCCATTTCCGACCACATCAAAGCAAGCCCCAATCATCAAATAGAGTGGTCTGACATCACCATTCTCTCTAACAAACAAACAGACTTCACTAAACGCAAGCTCACCGAAGCCATCCACATCAAACGCCAAAAGCCCACCATCAACCGAGACCAAGGATACTTCATTCCATCCGCTTATGATGCACTCATCCACCAAGCCCAATCCACTGTATAAACTCACTGCTGTATAAACATGTCATTATCATTTGTACATCATTGGCTTCTACGCCTGTCCTTTGTCTACTCTCTGGCTTCATCAGCCTTCTGCCTAGCCAATTATGTTAATTATGTTGTTTTCTTTGTCACATTGTCACATCCAGTATATATACACTTCCCCCCTCTTCATGTCCCATTATGCTTGACAACGGTACAAGAATCTGTATCGAAACGTCGCACTTACGAATAAAAAGAAGTTGTTATCCATAAAGTTTGTTCTGTATTGTACTTCCCAACTTCTAAAATGCCACTCAAAGAAATTACAGCTCTAAGACTGTGAAATGACCTCAAGAATCATACTGAAAATAGTCAAAACAATGGCCACTAATAGTAAGTTAAAATACATTTAAATGAATAGCAGTCACTTTTGT